CCCAAATGTAAAACAAAAATACCAGCATAACTTAGGGATGACTAGTATCTGAGTAGATTATAGCTCAGCAATGATAGCTAAGTTGGGGTGATAGGTGGGTGAGTACCTTTCGAGCCACTCCTGCTCTTACGCACATGACCAGTTTTGGTGTTGTGCAACACATGAGTGCATGCGTGGAGAAGCAGAGGCCCTTAAGAGGTATCTGACCACTAACCTCATCCGTCTTTGTCATTTGACTTTCTTTTATTTCTCAATGTCCACAACAATTGTGATTGGAATTTTAATAAAGTAATTACTGAAGCTGAGCCCTGAATGTCGTAGGTCTGCAATCCATTGCATGAGTAAAGCACTGAGGGAACTCTTGACACTGTTTCGAGTTCAGATGTTACTACTGGCCTGGTAACACCAGACACAGGAAACCTGCAGAAACAGCGAGAGATATGCCAAACACAACCACAGTCTTATGTGCTCATGGAGAGTGAACAAGAGACTGGGGTCAGGGTGCATAACGGGAGGTCCCCCACCTAGTTATGCTATACCAGAATAACTAAAGCATACTGTAGGGTCACCTGAGTTACCCCCATATGCTTTATCAAACAGAATATTTTTAGGCCTAGTCTTAAAGGTAAAGAAAGGCTCCTCACATGGCAGGTAGTTCCACTCAGAGAGGGCTGATGGCTGAAGGCCTTGCCTCCCATTCCACTTTTAGAATTTCTAGGAACCACAAGAGATAAAATCCTTCCTGCTAATTCCTCTGGATCAGCTTGATGCTAAAAAAAAAAAAATCCAGCCCAATAGTAAAGAATATTAGTTGTTTAGTTTTGACAGACAAAAGTGAGAGAGGCCAGTCAGAGAAACCTGTTTTATACATGAGTAAAGAAACAGATTCTGTAAATAGAAAATGCAAATCTTTCTCACTTCAGTGCCAGTAGCAAATAGAATACCATCTATAGAGAGTGTAATGTCAGACAGTTACCTCCCAAAGGATTCAGATCCTAACACAATGACTTTAGTTTCGTCTTGATTTAGGATAAGTTTTGAACTCCTTTTCTTTGATTTTCAGAGCCAGAGTGCTGTGCTCATAGTACAGTGAAAAACCAGACAAAATCCAACAGATAAATAAGCATAGCAAATGAATGATGTAATACATTTAGACAGAGAAAAAAAAAACGTTTTTGGCACAACTCTCGACACATGTCTGGTCTTGTAATTGTGTGCACTTGCTTGCAAAAAATGGTTTGAGTTTTTAAGAAGTTGTAGTAGCTTTAAATGTGTTGCTGGATAGAAGGAAGATGGAAAATACAGTCCTCCATGAGAATCATCTTCACACTCACGTTCTACGTCAGACTTTGTTTTATCAACACAGAATGAGAAAAGTGACCAATGTTGAACCAGGAGACGCAGTTAGAAACAGTGGAACGGCTTCCTCACCACTGGTTTGAAATTTCACTGAAGTGGAAATGAAACCTCCTGAGTCAGATCTGGTAAAACATGTTGACATTGGACTCCGAATAAAGCAAGTCTGGACTTTCAGCCGAGCAGTATGATTACTTAAAGCTGTCACATTATTGAAAGGGAAAACTTCCAATTCCTTCTCATAAGAATGACTAAATCAAATAAAAAAAAGGAAAACCAAATTTAAGTTTGAGCCTCTGCAGTGGAAAGTTACAGAGCCAATAAAAAAATTCCATTTTACAAACCAAAAGAGCAGAAAAGTAGTTCACAAGCAGGTTGCCACTGGATTTTGAGAGCCGCAGAGTATGGAAAATTTAGGGAGAGAGACTATTCTCTGTTGTGATTACTCTTCATCAATTAATATTTTAATCAGGAGTACATTATCATAGTTAATCATGCCAAGAAGCCCCAAGTTGTAAAATTCATAGTTTCCTCTTTCATATTAACATTTCATATTCATTTCCATAACAGGTTTTTGTGGTGACTAACAGCAGACCGGCTCACCTATGACTTCCACCTAGTAAAAGAAACAGTAGCCTGTAGGAAAGCCATTGCTTCACACTTTATCAAAGAATGAACACATTGACTGAGTCACTACAGGACTATGAGAGGATAAAGAACTCACGATTCTCATATTGCATGTTGGAGAGACACTAACTTATCTTGCATGTAAGATATGTAAAGCATTGTTGGCTGAATGTTTACATTCCACGCCTGAATGCAGCGTGTTTTCTCTGTGACTCAAATCTTAGATAAGAGACCATTATGATGAATTGTTAGTGAGAAAGTGTGTAAAGCAGTTTTGGAATAAGATAACTCAATAAATTCTAATCAATCTCTTTATTTAGTATATTTAAAAACAATATTCTCTTCTAAGGAGAAGACAATTGGATGTCTGTATGCACAATTTCACTCTTTTTATTCTTGATGGTTCATCCTTTTTCTCATGGTCCCAGCCATAACAGTTTTATTTATTCACTCAAATAGATACAGACTGGTTAGCTGAATTTTATTTTAAACAACTAATGCTTAACCAGTGACGAAACCCCACCTAACATGCATTCTTTGCGCTTGCCTGCATAAAAGAGTCCTGTAATCCCTTAAGCCAATAAATTTAGAACAGAGACAGACGCAGGGCAGAAGTCAAACGTGGATGCATGAGCTAACACAGGAAATAGTAGGTGTGTGGACAGTTTTTACTCCTCCTATTTGTGTTGCAGTGACTCAACATTCAGCTACAGAAAAGATTACCATGAGTCACAGAGGAATAGACAAAGGGTCGCAAGAACTGAGGCTCTTATCACTAGATAAAACTGATTTCTAAACAGATATAACATATTTTATTTAAATATTTCAATTTACCCCAGCCCCAACACAATAATCACAAAGAAAGTGAATGCTACGCAACTACATTTTTGCATCAGGACTAGCCGACATAATTTTTTATCATTTTACCAAAAAAACATTAATACATTTAGCATGAACTGTCTGTTTTTATGGATCAGTTGTACACAGATATATTCAGGACAAGTAACACCCTAAAAAACAAATTTTGCACAAATGTGTGTAGATTGGCACCATTGCCTAGCAACAGATAATTATAAAAGCTTATTTTGTCTTTAAGTCCTACAAGGACAGATCAACCTTCTTCTTATGTGATTTAGCCTTTGCAGCATGTGTATCTTTCAACCCCAAATTATAGAATGAGGAAGACCTGGAAATAGAAAAAACACAATTAATTACGACACAAAAATAAAAACAGCAGCTTTTAGTAACAATTTGAATATTGCTATCTTAGATTTTTAGAAGATTTTTGTTATTTTTTTACTTTTTTCTTTTTGTTACAGTCAGTAGGTCTATTCTAGTGGTTTGTTGTCTTTTCTGGATTGTTTTATTTTACAGTTATTCATAAATATACCCACAAGAACATTTTTTTTACCTGTTTATGTGCAAACAATAAAACTTGGTTGTGAGAAAATACTACAGTGGAAGTATTGTCTTGAAATTAGTTGTGAAGCACATGACTGCGAATAAGTACAGATTCCCCACCCGTAGCTAGCGGTTGTTTGTGTTTTGGAAGACTCCTGTCATGTGTTCATTTCGTGTGAAGCTTTGTGCCTGGAAGAACACTGAATTCCAGACAAGACCACATCATTTGAAAGTTCATCTCAGGGATATGGTACTTTTGCTTGGATTAACTCCGAAAGTGCTGTTTAGGCCATTTAAAAGTAACACTGTAACTCCTGTGTACTGCTTTTTTAAGGTTTCTAGCATTTTTCTAATTAAGAGATGCATTAGTGATCTGTTTTTTTTAAAGCCATTAAGACCATTTAGAAAAAAAGGGAAAAGTACTATTCCCTCTCTGTCTTTCATTGTCGTTCTTCATCATGTGTAGTCAGACCTTTACCTATTAGAGGCTTCTAATTCCTGAAGATAAATCCTCTTAGGATCTATACTCTATTTCTGTTAGGTCTATTGGGTCCTTTTTTGAAATCTCTGTTAGACCCAGCTCATTGGCTGGAGAAGACACACATGGTCAAAACAACACGCTGTCCAGCAACAGATAGCTCAGTGTAGAGATCGAGAGTACGCCAGTGGATGATTTGCAACTGACACTCAGGCAGGACTTCATTGGGATTGTGAGAGGTAAGAAAATCTTATTTAAAAGCTAGAGTAAAATTATCTAAAGCTTGTACAGAGTTATTATATTTGAATCCACAACTTTGACGAGGTTCCTTGTGTTCTGCACATATTTCTTGATACACTCAGCTGGGATTTTAGGCTCACTGGTACTTTTTGGATAGACATTTGCCTTTCATGTCACAATTTAAGGTTTCAAATTATATAAAAGATATTACAAGTTATATCCTCATTTCTGTCTTTTTCGACTGTAAAGTTATCTGTGCAAAACAAACAGCTCTTTCATTTGGGGATGAAAATGGTCATGGGTTCGTGTTTTACTGGGAGTCAGCTGCTTACAAAAGTTTACTGTCAATGCCTGAGTCACACAAAATGAATGCATTCATACATGGTTTTATTTGCATTTGCCATAGCAATTTAACTCCCACTAGTGAATTGGGAGCTAGGTGGTGTATATAAAGATCATTAGACCAGATTAGCTTTGTGACTGCAGGCAGAAGGGAGAGCTACTAGGAACAGGCCACTTAATCCCATCAGTAATTGGCTGTGCATACGTCATATTACTAACTGATTAGACAAATAACCTCATCAAAATTACACACCAGCGTGTAGTCCAAAGCATATTAAGATAGGATTTAGAATTTTCATCTGCAAGTGTTTCATGTCTACATAACAAAGGAATATTAAAAGAAAATGGCAACAATGTAGATCTTGTTGAGTTCAGTAATCCTCTTAGACTGCTTTAATTTAATTGAATATCATGGGACTCGCTTGGTTTCTGTTAGTTTACCAAAATATATAGATTCTAATGGTAGAAGTAATGGAGAACAAAGAAACACAAAACTGATGATGGCCAAAGACTTAAAATAATCAAGAATCTTTAAATGTCTTTTTTCATCATACAGGCAGCTGAGCATCACAATGTCTGACAAACTGATTGAGCTGGAAGAGAATGCCACCCACACAGGTGAGCTGAACTGTGTTCTGTCATCCCCGTTTGCAATGCCTGTATTTCAACTGAATTCACAGATGCCCAACTCAGCTATTGGTCAGGTGGAAAATACCCTACATGACGTTCTTAAGCATACAAATAGCTCACAGAGCAATTGGCTTTGAACAGATAAAAGGAAGTACAAAGCAGAGTGAAGAACAGCTTAACGAATGCTCTAATCTTCTATTTATTATGCAACACTAAGGTAACTGGTATGCATCCTTCAGAGTTAAGATAATCAGTAACGTCAAAACAGGAAACCTCTCCCACTAATGGTTAATTTAACACCACACAAAGGTAGAAGTATGTAAGTCAGTTAAATATTCTACTTGCATGAAGTGACTGTTGTTAGCCAAAGCGTGCTAATTTTATGTTCCTACCACAGTGTACAAGTGAAAGACAGAGAAAATAATCCTAATACACACTTTGTTTCTCCACAGGTCCAAAAGGAGTCATTAATGACTGGAGAAGGTTTAAATTGGAAAGTATGGACAGAGAAAACTTGCCTCCTGCAAAAAGGGAACTGCTGAGACAAATGTCATCACCCAATAAATCAAAAGATGCCTCCAGAGCGAACCTTAACCGCAAGGTACCAGTGCCCATATTATTAAGTCTGTGCTGACATTATCTTTAATGTGGATACAATTCTTTTTGGTGTTGAGCTTCACAACAATGACACAAGTCTGAGAATAAGCCTAAAATGTAGGGCCTACAACTGATTACTGCAGAAAGGGAAATGACACAGCAAGTCAGGGTTGCACCTCAGCACAAATAAGCTTTTGTGTCATCAGAATTAATTCTCTCAGACACACAAAAATTCAGATTCAGCTAATTTTGTCTGTTTTGCTCATGCCATTTTTCAGATGAGTGTTCAGGAGTATGAACTCCTTAAGGAGGAGGATGAAGGTTGTCTAAAGAAGTACAGAAGGAGGTGCATGGAAGAGATGCATAGCAAACTGAGCTTTGGGCCAAGGTTTGAAGGTGTGCATGACCTGGACAGTGGAGAGGCCTTCCTCGAAGTCATAGAGAAGGAACATCACAGCACAGTGGTGGTCGTCCACATCTACAAGGTTGGAGTCAAAGGCTGTGAGGAGCTCAACAGCTGCCTCGACTGCCTGGCCACCGAGTACCCCACCGTAAAGTTTTGCAGGATTGACGCTGTCGCATCTGGCGCTGCTGAGCGTTTCTCTGACGAATACTTACCAACGCTGCTGGTGTATAAGGCAGGAGAACTGCTGGGGAACTTCCTGTCCTGCACACAGCACCTAAATGAGGAGTTCTTTGCAACCGATGTGGAGGCATTCCTCAACAGCTATGGCCTGCTGCCTGAGAAAGAGCTGCCAGCCGAGGAAGATGAAGAAGAAAACCGTGTTGAATAAACAAAGAGTGACTGTGGAGGGAGAGCAGAAGCTATTTCACGTTACTGGAGGAAGATCTGGAGAGAAAGTTACTCTTTTGGGCTTCAGAATATAGGATAATACCTTCTAGGTAGGGTACAGTAGGGATGGATTGTTTTCTAAAAGAAAATATTACATTCAAGTGGTGAGGACACTTTGGTACCCCAGACATTGGAGGTGCTGAGGAAGTCTGTGTGTGTCAGAGTAAAATGTCAGGATGCCGTGCTCCTCATCGCCGACCTAATAAAAGCCAAAACAAGCTAATTTTATTTTTCAAAGTTAGGAAATGTTTCATTCTATATATACTTGTATAAAATTGTTTGTTTATAGCCTTTCGTAGCATTGAAATGAGTACGCATGGTGTACACTTCTGTTATTTATATAAGTCAGGACTGATTAACATTGGAATGGCTAAAATGCTCTTGATGTTTTAACTTTTGTCTTCAAACATACTTACTCTTGTCTCTTTAGCCAATGTGATGATAAGTGAGTAATGTGTCTGGAAACAATGAATCAGCATAATTTTCATCATTAAAATGGAAACAGAGAAGGAGTTGTTCAGTTTCCTGACTGACATGGCAAGACACAGATTCAGCATGATAACAGAAGGATGGTCATTATTAATGACACCCTGGTTTCTTGCAACCCTTATTAGAGAAATTGTCATATTTTTAAAAAGGAAAAACACTACTTCAAAAAGTTGTGCTTAGTTTGAAGAAAACATGTAGGTGAGCTGAACAACGAAAGTGGTTCCTACCTAACGTCCGTCTTCCTGTGACTGCAATATACTTTAAAAAGATTATTTAGCTTGATGTTGAAACCTAACACATGAGCTCAGTATATTCATGAATACTGCAAGATAGACTTTCTTTTCAACAAGAGTTTTTAAGTCTTTAATTTAAAAGATATCTGAAGTGTAGGTCATGACCTTTGTGTAGTTATGGAAGAACAGCAGACTGTTTGTGTTGAATAACCTCACTTGGCATGTAAGATAGATCTGACTTCTCTGTGACCCCAGGGAGCTCCAGGCATTCCAAAACCACAACGTGAAAGCTGGTTTGGATTTAGAAGTAAAGACTTGCAATAATAACCCACAATGAACTCAATCAAATTAGGCTGTCTCATATTCACTAGAAACTGCCAAACCATGCATTTACCTGACTGTGGGGAACAGAGATTTCCTGTAGAAATAGACTTTAACTTTATCTAAATAGAGACCAGTCAGAAATAACTTTAAAACCAAAGCAATAAATAGTTAATTGCTTTTGTTTTCTTTTTCTCTAATCTTTTGATTAATTTTTGCTTAGAATTTGAGAGGCTCCTATTCTGAAGAATTACTGCAGCCTTATCTTTACTGTGCTAAACATCACATGAAACATTGATAGTTTATACCAAACTTAATCATATCTAACCCAATATTTGGAAAGATTAAATGGAATCAATGTAAATGTGTACATGAGCCGCAAACTCATTGAAATATTAAATCTAGTACAAAGAAGAATGTCAAAGGGTTCTCAGAGCAACTCAAGACCTGAAGTGGAGAATGTGATATGAGCTACAACCATGTTTCAATAATTTAGACTTTTGGTACATGCTGCCCTCCCAACATTGCTAATTTGTTCATTTTTCTCAAATGCATTTAAATGCATGTTTCTCAGGTCAATTAAATCTAGAAGGATTTAATCTGTTATTAAAATAATTTGGAAGCATGCTGACAAACAATAGTCATCTCGATTCCACAGATAAATATGATGAATATGAACTTTCGCAACATTCAAGCTATACGTAGGGTAATTTCCATAATCCCTGTGATATTGCTGTCAAACAACTCTACTTTTAATTAACGAAAGTGTTCCTGGATTGTTACACCCTAATACATTTTTCACTGACAATACATGTGTAATTGCAATTCCACAGCTGGCACCAGCTTCATAGCCTAAAGCTAATACAGTTTCACTCTCACAAAATAGCGTGTCTAAAATTTGTCATAACTTTCGTACCTCCCTCTAGAGTCGAGCAGAGAAAAGTTTCTTTGAGGTGCCTGAACATGTCTTCTGCTCTAACTTCCAATGAACTAAACAAGAGAGTGCAATGTAGGTCTGATCATCATATTTATATTCTTAGATGCAGATGTGACCTCAGCATTCTACAAAGACACCTTTTCTTAGTTTTCATTATGTATGGTATAAATTCATCAAGAGGTAGGGTGCCTTGGTGGCATCTGAGATTCTTTAGGAGAGCTGAATAATGATTATAATACAAAGTGACTCTGGTCGTGTTATCATATTTTGCAGAATCCCTGAAACTCAGGTTTGGTGCTCTAGGGTAACTTTTAAAATTAAAATAAAAGCCCAAATAGCTTTTCCATATCGAAAAAGACTTAGAACGTTATGAAAAAGTTTCCCACAGTTCCCTGCTAACTGCGAACTTTCAAATTTGTGCAGACTCCAGTGCATGATTTGACTCATGGCTGCACTCAAACAAATGTTTACCACAATGTTTATCCCTGCTTAGACCATTTGAACCCACCCCCACTCTGACGATTTGATCCCCTTTTCTGTTTACAATGCTTCACTAATTGTATTTTGTGCGTTGTATGTTTGGATTCTTTGAAAGGTTAGATGTCGTGCACTAGTTCATCCAGATAATAACTCAGTTCATGGAGGTGGTGTCATGACAGGGTGGTTCAGATCATATATGGGCAGCGGACGTGAGTTAGATGACGCAATAGCTAAATATACACACTGGTCGTCATTGTAAAGGAAGGCATATTTAAAGTCCCATTGTGCAGACAACAAGGTTCTATTAACACATTAAAAGATGCATTATTATACTAAACTAATTGTTGAACTGATTAGATTAAACTTTTTTTCCTTTTAAATACAATTAATGCAATATTATACTCTTAATATTACTGGGATAAATTTGTAATAAGCTAAATATTTTCATGCATCAGGTCCATACTTGACTATATGGTCGTGACAAGTCCTGACAGACAACAGTTTGAATCCTGTGAAGGAGTTTGCACTGTGATGCTGCTGTAGGTTACCTTATATCTTGGTATCCAGGTGTGACAACAGAGTGTAAGAAAATAGTTATGATGCCTGAAGCAAAGAGTTACCACAACTCCTCTCAGGTTTGTTCTCTTTTGTCTAGTAGAGGTATCCCACAATTATGGACCACTAAGCCACTGAAGTATTCGTTCAAACAGGTCCAGACAGGATCCCAACAGCATATGTCACCAAAAGGCTAAGTTAAAAATAACAGAACCTGAAACTGTGGAGGGATTTAAAGCCCACACCAAGAGGAGAAACAGAAACTTTGAGCAAACATCATAAATCTGAGTAAAAATGATAAGGCCTCGGGATTTCCCAGTATTGACTACCATATGGAGCAAAGCAAACTTCACAGTAAATCTAACTCCTCCTGTGAGTTCTGCTCAAATCTAAAATATTGATCAAACATAGACTGATAATATCGCAGTCAATTTTCTCTCAATTCTTTCTCATAAATACCCTATTATCAACTGTAACTCATCACAACATTTGTAGCCAGTTTGAGAGTACAAATGTAATTATATTTTAAAACCCCAACAACAGCATTATTACTCTTGTCTTTGTTTTTATATATGCATTCATTGGGCGCGCAAAGGTTTTCCTCTTAAGAAAAAATATTTTTAAATATGATTAAATATGATATCCATAAGTGATATTGCGCTCACTACTTGAAGCCACGTGTATTCGGAGATCTTTCGGTGAGTCTTTGGCGTCACCTGCTGACTGAGACGGTCGGTTAACAGTTAAAGCAAATCACCAACTGCGCATGCTCGTGAGGTTGTTGCCAGAAAAATGGCGGCACCGATGCTAGTGGAATTGGATGCACAGGAGATATCCAAGCTACCGAAAAACATTCAACACAAACTTGAGAAAATCCTGTTAGATCAACAGTATAAGATCGATTTGTTGAAATCACAACAGGAACAGTTTCGTGTTGACAGCGGTAAGTCGTTAGTGGTGATTGTGTTGTCAGTTAGCTATGCTAAAGTTGTTGGCTTTGAGTAGCATGCTCGCATGCATGTGTTCATATATACACAAACGGAGCAAAGTTAATAAGCTAGCTTTGAATGCACTTGTTTACTAATCGTGTATGTTCACTTGTAGTGTCTCTAATCGCTGTGTATACTTGGCGTAGTGCTAAGAGCTAAGATCGATATCCACTAAAGCAAAAAGTGCTAGCAGTAGCTAATCCACAAAGCTAACCTCTAGTTGTGACGTAAATATTGTTGTGGTCAATAAGTAATTCTGGTAGTTTACGACCTACACAATTTGTATATGTGCCTCTTTTTCCTTTTTCCATACAGAGCAACAGTTTTTTGAAAAAGTTAAGCAGCTTACCCAAAGCCAGGAAGAGTTTTTGACTCAAACTCAAGAACATCTTAAACTCAAAGATGAAATCGCCAAACTCGGTATGAACGACCTTATTCACAGGTTTATCCTAACATGGCTTCCCTGGGATGTGTTTAATGACATGAGTCAATTGTTTGCTGCAGGTGAGGAGCTCAAAAGTGTACGTGAAAAGAATAGGGAATATGAATCTTCACAGGATAAGTTTTCATCAGAACAGGTAAGGAAACTTATTTAAAAAAAATAACAGTGCCATTCTGTAACCTGGTTTACTTTATACTTTAAATACAGAAAACTGACTAAATATGTATATGTACATGCATATGTCAGTCTGTGAAATAAAACGTAAATACAGTTTTGATAGTAATATTTGGTATGAATTGTTATTTAGAGTTTTCTTTGCAGCTCTTTGATGAGCAGTATTTTAAACAAGGTTATATTCTTGACTATTTATAAAAGTGCAGCTGTTTTCACATGTGGACTTCAGAAAAATATTAACATGATTAAATACTAATTGATTTTCTAGATTAACATGTTGGTGCTTTCATTTTTTAAATATATTATAACGTTGCGTTCAGCTGAACTGACAGTGACTTATATTGTAATGACCAAACATTCACACGTGGTACATTTAGTATGTTCATATCAAAAGCAACACAAGCAAACATTTGGTTGAACATTTGCATTCTTTTAGACTTTGCTGTCGAAAGCCAAAGAGGAGCTGGAGGCAGAAAAACGAGAACTTGTGCGGACACTGGAGAGAAGGTCCCTGGAAGTCGAGCATTTAAATGGTATTCACTGATTCATTGGTGTGAAAACATTTTAAGCCTTTTCAAAAATGATAATTGGACAATTAAATTATTTTTTTTCTTTATCGCTTCACCAGATGACCTGAGGCAGCTCAATGATAAGCTGACGGAAGTCAGCGCCTCTAAAATGGGCCTGCAGATGAAGATAGATGAACTGGAAGCTGCAGAAGTGAACATCAAAGTAAGTTAAACCATGTTTGTTTTGATTTATTCATCTTTTATGAATTTGGCATCATAAGAAAAGTTAACTGAAGATGTTTGTGTGCTTTTGTATTGTAGTATAAGGAGAAGCGCATGGAACAAGAGAAGGAACTTCTGCAAGGTCAAACATCTTGGTTGAAAGAGGAATTGAAGGCCAAAACTGAAGAACTGCTGTGCTTGTCCCGGCAGAAGGGTAACGAGATTCTGGAGCTTAAATGCACCCTGGAAAATAAAAAAAATGAGGCAAGTTTTTTATTCTTTAATCTTTATTTACAGAGTAGTAATGTAGTATATTTAGAAAGCATTATAACTTGGCAGGTGAACACTCATTTGAAATGCTTACCTTCCCCAGTTTTAGATGTTCTACAATCAAATTTAAGTATTGCTTTCATTTGCAGATGAATAAACTTCAAGAACAAGTGGTCAGTCTGACTAATTCAAATGAGCATCTTCAGAAACAAAGTGAAGACATGACCAGCAAGCTGAGAGAGGTATGTGTGTTTCCAGTTTGGGTCCTTTTCATCAGAGGTGGTAGTTCCTCTTTTTTTGTTTATTATACCACCAAGTAACTATATCGGTGATTAGTTATTTCCAGTTATTGAGGTATATTGTTACATGTGTTGTTGTTTTTTCAGGCAAAGGAACAACGGGCAACCATGGAGGAGAAGTTCAGAAATGAGCTTAATGCCAATATTAAGCTTTCCAATTTATACAAGGTGTGGATGCATGCAAAACAAACAGTTTGACGCGCTCTTTTTTTCACCAGAGCATTTACTCCCAGTTCACAATAATCTTGTCTTAAAGTGACGGTTTAGCACTTGCACTACTGGGAAATTTCATGGTTTTCAACTTATTTGCTCAGGTCATTTTTCTTTCTGAAAAAAAATAAAGAAAGACCTTATTAACTTTATGTTCTGTTAGGGAGCTGCTGCTGATTCTGATGCCAAAAGTGAGGAGCTGAATCAGGCAGTGGAGGAACTGCATAAGCTGCTGAAAGATGCAGGAGAAGGTACAAGTTAATGACCACGTGCTAGTAACCATAAACCAAAATTCTGCTCATAGTCATAGTTGATTTGTTCATTGGTTGTTCATTTTTGGTTTATAGTTAATTTAGTTAAAATTCCCTAAAACTATTTCTCCATTTCCTCACTTTGGCCACAGGCAACAAAGCTCTGGAGGAAAAGCTACAAGAAATGAATGACGCCAAGGAGAAAGCTGTAAGTGAGTTCAAGGACAGGATCCAGAGCCTTGAGAAAGAGCTGGATAACGCCAATGAACTGCTGTCAAGTTCTAAGCTCAGAGGTTAGTTCTGTTTAGTCTGGCCTTCATTTGTTCTTTTTACAATCTGCTAAATTGTTCACAGATTGATAACAAACCATCACATTAACTAAATGCTCTATGGAATGTGTTTTGCTTGTCCTGACCAGGCCCTCTTGGAGCATCTGTGCTGACAGAGGAGCAGCTGACGACAATGTCTCCAACAGCAGCTGCCGTGTCCAAAATAAAACCTGGAATGAAGCTTACCGAGGTAGGTGACCAGTTAGTTTCAGCAACAAAAAAAAATCAGGTTTCATTGCATTTCTGAACAAATCCTGGAGACGACCTTGTGCTTGTCCCTGTAAATCGCGATTCAAACGGGAACATGAGACCCTGTTGTTCGCTTGGCCACCTGTTTTGACATGACACATGCACTTTCAGTTATACACGGCATACCTGGAGAGCCAGGAGCAGCTGCAGCTGGAGCGTTTGGAGAATAAGAGGGTCAACAAGTACCTGGATGACATTGTGCAGGAAGTTGAAGAGAAAGAACCCATCCTCAAAAGACAAAGGGTTGACCATGAGCGCATGCAGAAGTCAGTGGCCAGTCTGTCTGCCAAGCTGGAGCAAGCTGTCAAGGTATGCGGTGCAGAGTTGAACGTTTGACGTTTTCTTATTCAGTTGCCATTGCTTTGCAAGTTTCCTTTATTCCCAATTTATTTTTCATGCTCCACAATTTCAGAAAGTCGCTATCAGGTGAACATGGTGTTTAATGGCATCTGCATTTGCAGTCAGGAGTTGTTGGTTATTGATTTTAAATATTCATTTCAGGAGGTGCACCGTCTGCAGAACGAGGCAGACGAAGCCAACAAACGCTCATCTATGCTGGAAAGGGACAACCAGAGGTTTGAACTCCAGCTAGCCGATATGGCTCAACAGGTAGGACCGTGCTCCTCATACCAGGAAGACCAGAGAAGATAAAAAAGTACTGAGCATTTTTTCCTCTCCACCCTCCTCTTTCCTTCCTGCTAGGTCCGTGTCCTGCTGATCGAGCTTGAAGAAGCCCGTGGAAACCATGTGCTTCAAGAGGACGACGTCGACTCGGCTGATGTCAGCAGCACATCAGATGTGATCAGCCAGCACTTGGTGACCTTCCGCAGCGTTGAGGACCTTCAGAAACAAAACCAGCGTCTTCTTGTAGCCCTCCGGGACCTCAGTGAAGCTCAGGAGAAAGAGGAATTTGAAGCTTCTGGCAATAAGTATGTTAGTCTATGTAAAGCGTTACTTTTCGCGATCAATTTTTCCACAGATGTAGAGCAATTTAAATGAAATTGTTGCACTCACAGTTATAATGAACAAGTAACAATACCCTAAGGGTTGTTTAATCTTCATCATAAATTACTGTCTCAGGCGTGGAGAACTTGAGCAGAGTTTGCAAAAAGCTCAGACCGAGTTGGAATCCATAAAGGAGCAACGCAGCCAGCAGATAAAGATGACCGAGGCTATCGTGAAGCAGAGGGACATGTACCGGATGCTACTGGCTCAGGCAACAGGAGTCACCTTCCCACAACAAGGTAGCACTGACTGACACTGACTTGTATGCAATAGAAACATGTACACGAGCAGTTACTAAACCCTTGTTTAAACTACTTTTCAAACTACTTTAAATTTAACTTTGATATCAAATTATTCTTCAATTTTCACTGATTCTTTGAGTGTTACTATTACTATTCTCACGGAGTTGTTTGGCCTGAAGGTACCCCGACTGAGGAGTTCTCTCTGACCTCTACCCCTCGACGTTCACCAGCAGCCACCCCCACCGCAGGGACACCCACTGCTCTGGTGTCCATGGCTGCAGATTCTGCTGAAGCATTGGAGGCTAAGGCAGCTTTGCGACAAGTGAGCTCAACATTACGTTTTTTTTCATTTTTTAATTAGATTTTTTTTCTGCCTTTGGCTGTCAAACTCTGCCAACAGTGACTTGAAATAGACCATTGTTTCTTTACAGTTTGATATAAAAAACTTCAAAGAAAGACCAATATTGCTTCTGAAATCTCATAAGAATTCTATCAATTTAAAAAGGAACAAATACATATTTGTAGTCTTATTTTTTTCAGTAAATGGAGTGTAGAACGCTAAGGGCCAGGTTTCTCTGAATAGTTGTCATCACTTTTATTTCATCAAAAGAATGTGTGCTAGGTTTTGTTCATTTGTTCAATTCTGGTTGAATCTGTAGTTGCAGGAGGTGTTCTCCACATACAAGAAGGAGCGAATGGAGAGTGACAAGACAATGACCAAGCAGAGTGAAAAGCTCCAGGAGCAACTCTCTGTTCTTCACTCTCAAAACGCTAAGATATCCACTCAGCTAGAGTTTGCCTCCAAAAGGTAAAAATAGAAAAACACTTGGCAGCTGGTGTCACATTTGTGAATGACTTTTTTCTGCTGTAGAGTGACTTCCTTTCCCTCCCGCGCAGGTATGAAATGCTCCAGGACAATGTGGAGGGCTACAGGAAAGAGATTGCCTCTCTTAGAGAGAAAGAGCAGAAAATGGCAGCTGCAACGCAGCAGTTTGAGCAGACCATCCACACACTGAACGAGGATCTTAAAGCTGCCAGGGAGAAACTCACCATGGCCGACGGTCACGCCGAGAGCCTGCGCAAGGAGAGAGACATGTTGAGACTGGTGGAGTCCAAGCTGAACCAGGAGAGAGAGACGATGCTGAGCCAGCAGCAGAGCCAGAACCTGTTGCTCACCAATCTGCACGCAATTCAGGTAATTCAGGCACATATTCTCAGGAAAACAGAAACGCAACCAAAATCAATAACGCAATCAAAAACTCTATTTTTCAGGCCACTCTGGAGCGTTCTGAGACTGATACACGTCAGCGTCTCAATGAGCAGCTGGAAAAGCAGGAACGAGAGATTTCCCAGCTGCAGAAGAGGCTTGAGCAAGAAGTAGAACAGCGCCACCTGCTCAGCAGAAACCAGGAGGTAAGTCTCATAATTGAAGTTCTGTTACATTCGTTTATGACCAGGGATTTGGAAAAGAGCAAGAACTCACTGCGTTTCTCTAGAAATGATGACTTGTTACTGCATAGATTAACCGAGCGAATGTCAAGGGGAAAAAAACTTTTGACATAAAAAAGTATCTCCTGAATATCTGACACAATGCTTCTGATCTGCAGATCCAGGTGATGGATGTAAAGAGGCAGTTAGAGACACAAGCAGCCTTGCATCAGAAGACAAAGGATTTGCTAAATGCAGCTGAGTTGGAGCTCAAAACTCTCAGGATGAAACAAGGCAGCTTGGAAGCGCGCCACAGTCTGAGCTCGCCTTCCACACCCATTATGCGAGGTGGGCAAAAATACGTTTATATGCAGAAGCATGTAAACCACTTTGGTTTGAATATGCACAGTGGAATCGGTTAACAGTGCTCTGTTTTTTGGGTGTCGCATTCCATCTTTAGCAATGCAAGTAGTAATTTTTTTCAGTCATTTTAATTTATTTATTGGTGTTAAAGCACAATACATTTTAGTATCATCGATTTTGATTAAGCTTTCTGCTTACACTTGTGTGCGGTGATCCATACCTCCTGTATTTATTAAGATAACGTGAAGTACACAAGCTCAGTTTGATCTATAAACCATAGTTTTTCATGGTCCACATTATTTATTCTCGTTCCAGGCCTTCAGGCTTCAGATCAAGACAGAGAGGAGCTTCAAGGACGCCTCCTGCAGGCTGAAGCCAGAGCAGAGGAGCTGGCAGAGAGCCTGAGGGCAGCCACCTCCAACATGGAGCAGTACAGAGCCATGGCTCAAAGCCTGGAGGAGTCTCTGGACAAGGAGAAACAGGTCGGTGACACAACACAGCTCTCAAACTATGTGTGTCTATGCTGTTAATCTGAAAGAATGCATTTAAGCATGCCCATATCATAAGATGTGATCAAAACGCATCAGTTGAGGGGAACTACTAAGAATGTTATGTCAGCCATAAAAAACTGCATCGCATCATTCAATTTTAGGATTATTTTTATGCGAGTCTACATCATATTTTTCACGTAGACCTTCGTAGAATGCATCACTCAGAATGTGCAACAAGCCAACATTCACACACATTTGCACAGCTCTTCATGGTCTTAAGTGTCAAGACGTGCAGAACTGGGAAAAATATTATCAATAAAGCACCGACCCAAACTGCCAGGAATACACTTTAAATATCTTTTGGCTATTCTGGTATTGTATAGAGCTTAGTTTTGAAAGCTTACTTTTACTATTAAAGGCCTGACATTGATTTCATATTGCTAAATCTCCAATGAGCAGGTGACAGAGCAGGCTCGCTCATCCATTGAAGCCCGTTTGAAGGAGGCTGAGGAGCAGCGCCACAGGCTGGAAGAGAAGTTCCTGGAGGCCGAGAGAGAAAAGAGAGAGATTGAGGAACAAAACAGGAAAGCTGTGTCCACTCTTGAAGAGCAGGTACGATATCCTGTACTGTGGATTTTATATCATTGTGGTAACAAGAACACAAAGATTAATATTTTATTTTATTTTTTTCATTGATGCAAATTACTGATTGATTTTTTTGGGGGGCTTTTCTTTTTATAGCTCAGTAGCTTGCAGAGGAGTCTCAGCAGTGCCCAGGCTGATCACCAGGCCGCGCTACAGCGTGTTGCTGTAGCAGAAGCCCAGCAGCAGCAGGCTCAGCAGGACAGCCAGGAGCAGGTAAACAACCACAATAAAACATCAGCATGGTGAGGAACATTAAGAACCCCTAGGTTTAACAAACGGCTCACTTTGCTAATGTGGTGAGATAATGGTAATTCTTCAGCATGCCACTTAATTACTAGAATATCTGACGAGCATTCCAACAAAAATTGTTTACATCTTGAAGTGCTGGTGTTGAATTTTGTTTTAGTGGTTATAAGAGCATCTGTGAGAAATTTGTCGGGAATATATCAAGATGAAAAATGAACTTCTCTCCCATCTCCAAGGTTAAGCTGGCAGCTGAAGCTCAGGACAAATATGAGCGGGAGATGATACTGCACGCTGCTGATGTGGAGGCCCTGCAGGCCGCCAAGGCTCAGGTCGTCCAGGCTCAAGAAGTCAGACACCAGCTGGATGAGAGAGCCCAGAGGCTCAGTGCTGAATTACTAGAGACCAGAGTCTCCTGGGAGGAGCAGGAAAAGATCCTGAAGGTTTGTTTTACACTTTTCTAAATAAGATCCATTTAAATAAAAAGGTATTTAACTCATAAATAAAAAGTTAAATCCAAATTTGGTTATTTTTAAAAAATTACACATTCCGTTTTTTTATGTTTTTTTTATTATATTTATCTCTGTTGCAAAAAAATGCAGTTGTCATTTATTTCCTTATCTTACAGGAGGAGATGTCTAAGATGGAGAGCCGCTATGATGAGTTGCAGCAGCAGAACACCCTCCTGCATGATCAGGTGCAGAAAATGAGCAGCGACATGGCTGCTAATATGCAGCGGGCCAGTGAAAGCTCCCTGAACATATCACTGACGGAAGAGGGAAAATCTCAAGACCAGCTTCTCGAGATTCTCAGGTATGAAATGTCAGATCATAACTGCATCAACAGCAATCAATAACTCATCTAATCTGTAATTATAAGAACAGTCAAGGAGACCTTAAAGGATTTTAGTTTATCCCATATGGCTCTGTTTTAACCCATTATACTGCTTGATCAAGTCCCATCTGTCCAAGCTTTCAGTGTTTTAAAATTGAGGTCCTTGTTCTGTGTCACAGATTTGTGCGTCGGGAAAAGGAGATAACAGAATCTCGTTTTGAGGTGGCCCAGGGGGAGAGTTTACGTTACCGCTTGAAAGCAGAGCACCTGGAACAGGAGCTCAAAGAGGCGCAGGAGAATTTGAATGCTGTAAAGGAGAAAATGCAGGTCTGTCAATCCAAGGTCCCACAATTACTAGAGTAAAGAAAATAGACGTATCTTTTTTTCTCCTCCATGAAGATGGTTTGTTTCACAGGCACACGGTTATTTTGTTTTCGTGGATCAATGTTGGATGCGTCAGTTAGATGAGATGAAACTGATGGCACAGTGCTATATTTTTGTTCTAGGTGACTGCAAAGACGCTGGCTCAGCACGATGAGCTAATGAAGAAAACTGAAACAATGAGCATCCTTATGGAGACCAACAGCATGCTGAGAGAGGAGAGGGACAAAATGGAGCAGGAACTACAGAAAAGTCAAACCAAGGTCTCTGTCCCATTTTAATGGAAACTGTTGGTGAATATAGTTGAAGGTCTTTGTGAATATCCTAATACTTTTTGCTGAAGTTTAGCTTTTGTGTGCGTTAGGTGCAAAATCTTGAGTCGGACATCATGCCACTGAGGCAGGCTAACTCTGAGCTGAGTGAGAAAAGCGGCATGCTGCAGGCAGAAAAGATGATGCTGGAGGAAGAAATAAGGCGCTGGAAAACTCGGACTCAGGTGCGTGTGGAGGCGAAAAGATAAATCAGTGTAGCCTGCTTGATGCAGGGGAGTTTTATGGAGAAATTTAATATCTTTCTCCAGCATTTGGTGAGTCAACAAAAAGACTCGGATCCTGAGGAGTACAAGCGTCTGAATTCTGAGAGAGAGGGGCACCTAAAACGCATCCAGCAGCTCACTGAGGAGAACAGCAGACTTAAAGCAGAGGTCGTCAGGTAAGGCGTTATACTTAACATTGCTAAATTAAGAAGGAAATAAAGTGTTTGCTTAACTGTTATCTGATTAAATGCCTGTTTTTCCTTCCACATGATTAATTTTGTCTTTTTGTCTCTGAACAGAACAAATAATCTTACAACATCACTGCAGGGCCAAATACAGGGCCTGCGTGACAATATGAATAGATTGTCTGAAGAGAGGAATTCACAAAAGAGGGAATTGGACACTAAGAACCAGGAACTCCAGGAAAAGATGCGAACCATCACCCAGGTCAAGAAGATTGGACGGCGCTATAAGACGCAGTATGATGAGCTGAAGGTGGCCCATGACAAGGTAGTTGTTTCTGTTTTGCTCCTTTTCAATCAAATATTAGAAGAGAAGTTTTGTCTTACATTTCATCATTAACTGACAACTATAGCAGCATTGGTAGAGGTCCTGTTCTGAGAGTATAAATTCATGTTCATAAATATCACATATCTTACAGCTTGTTGCTGAGGCTGCAGTCGCCCCATCCCAAGATGATGAAGCACGTCAAGCCTCAGTTCAAGAGCTACAGACTGTCAAAGATTCTCTGAGTCAGGCTGAAAACAAGACCAAGGAGCTGGAGGGACAGTTGGAGACCATTAACAAGGTTAAACATCATAATTCACAAAGATTTGACTGAATATTACATGTTCTTTTTCTTTGTAGATGTCTCTTTTTCTTTCTTTTAAAAAAAATTGTCAGATTGTGTATTTAAAAGATTTGAAGTTCCTTTCTGGTGGGGAAGGCAGCATGTTGACAGTGGCCAATGTTTGCTGCAGGTGGTCGCAGAGCGAGAGGCCGAGTTGCGTAATGCCCAAGAACAGTCTTCCAGGCTGCAAGCAGAAGTGACCAGGGTGCGGCAGGAGCTGCAGGATAAGGCTTCTCAGGAGGACACGTTGAGACAGCAGGTGGCCGAGAAGGAGGAGAAGACCAGGAAGGCCCTCGTTAATGCAAAGCAGAAGATCAATCTGCTCACGGGTGAGAGGGTTTTCTGACATGACAACTGTTTACAACCAACAGATCAGTATGTCTTACCCTATTGAAATAAAGGCTTGCTTAAGGCATAAAGGTGGCAAATGAACTGCGACCCCATCCTTATACCACTTTAGCACTTTTACTCAGCACACTGTTGCTCAATTAAGATGCATCAGTCCAGATTTTAAAGGCATGTGATTTGATTCACAAATCAATTAGGGGTTTCCCCTTACTTCCTTTCAAGAAGTGGAACTTTAATAGATATCTGTTGTTTTATTAATGTATTAAGATGTGGTTTATAAATGTTTTCCAGCTAACAAAGACCAGCTGCAGAAAGAAAATGACGAATTAAAGCAGCAGCGGGAGGAGATGGAGGTGCGAGTAAGTGCCCTCAAGTCTCAGTATGAGGGTCGTCTCAGTAGGCAGGAGAGGGAGCTCAGAGACCTGCGAGGTCACCAGGAGAGACAGGAGCAGAGAGACGAGCCACCAGAGGCAGGGCCCAGCAAGGTGAGACTCTATTTACAGGTTTTCACATATGACAAACTCTATAAGTGTGCTGTAATAAGGATGTATCATGTTGACTCACAGAAACTTTCCAGGACTTCTCTCTTTTTTTTATTTTATTATTTTTTTTAATAAACATAAAATATAGTGGAAAGTTTCATTTTTTTAAATCCACAATATTACATGTGATTACTTCGTTTTGATAGATTGAATACATTTACAGCCATTTTAAATAATGATATTTAAATAATGCCATTTGACACACTGTTTTGTCTCTCAGCTTTATGCCTTTTCGACCTTGTTTCTTCTCTTCATTCTAGACTCAAGAGCAACAAAGGAGCACAGAGCAGAGGCAGATCAGTCTAAAGACGACACCAGCTGCAGACAGGGGAAGGTAGGATTTTTAGTGGAATTTCTTAATGAATTTTCAGTCTGTGCTCTTAGAATCGTGAACATGTATTAAACTTAAGAACAGGAGAGCAGTGCCGTTCCCGAAATGTACTCTAGAATCATTATTGATTCCAGTCCTTCTCATTACCAGTGCGAGCATCTCAGAGCCTCCAACTGCCAACATTAAGCCAACACCCGTAGTCCCTACTGGCAGCAAGCAGCCTGTCAACCCTGGAAACAAACCCACTCCAAGAGCAAGCATCAAACCCATGATCACCCCAGCAACCCCAACACCCACAGCCACAGTTATGCCCACCACACAGGTGGAGAGCCAGGAAGGTAGGTGCACCTGCAAAGCTTTCGATGGGACTGTTCTTACAAAGTGAGACACAAGCCAACATGTAATTGCCTGTAGTCATTCATTCAAGAGCTTCAAAAGTGTCTGTAAACTGGTTTGCCAGTGGGTTGACAACGATTGACTTTTTCACTAATACTGCGCTCTTTAACAGCCATGCAGTCGACCGAAGGCCCCCCCGTGGAGCATGTGACCGTGTACGGCAGTGCCAGCGGCTCGTTGCGCTCTGCCAGCCCAAATGTCCAGACAACTTTGGCCACCCCCATGTTAACTGTCCAGCAGACCCAGACACAAGCCACGGCATTTGTTCAGCCAACACAGCAACAGTGTGTGACCCATTCAGAACCAGCCAATCGGGAGCCGCCGCCTGTGGTGATCGAGGCAACACCTAGCTCCCAGGTGGAGAGGCCTTCAACGTCCTCCACGTCCTCTGTGTTTGGCACAGGTGAGCTGTTACCCATTTAAAAAATAGTGATTTAAACTAATTTATGTTGGAAATTAAAGCTTTTTGGGGGGGGGGGTTCAAATTCTGACGAGATGACGTTTGTGATAAAGAGAAATTAAGAAAAGACAATAAACCTCTAAAACTTCTAAACATTGAAAACTAAAACTTTTTTTATTTTTAACATCAAAATGATCGGGGGAAAATGTTTGTTATTTAGAATGTCATTTTATGCCACTCCTCAAACATTGATGCTCTTGAATTCAAATCCACGTTCCTGTGTAGTTTGTTCAGTATCACTTACCTCCAGTTTCAGCAACACCTGGAACCTCTGCCATGTCTAAGAGGCCTCGTGAAGAAGAGGAGAGCAGCCCAGTGGTTACTGACACTGAGGCAACACAAGAAGATGCTCCTCGGGGTCCCATATCAAAGAAGCTGCGCATGATCCAGAGAGTTGGTCCAGAGGTGATTAGAAAGAAAATTAATCATTTAAATCTGTCCAAAAAAAAAAGTCTGTTTTATAGATTTTTTTTTTTTCCTCCATTTTTCGAAAAATGTCAGTTCTCTTAATTGCGATTTGGTCCCCTCAGGAGGAGGTTCTGGCTGAGGAGAGCGCTGAGGCTGAAGGGATGGTGCCAACGGACAGTCAGGATGCTACTGAAGCCAGCCAGGTTAGGTTCAACTGCTGTTACCACAGCCATAAATCTTCATTCAGTTTCCTCTATTCCACAATTCAATTTGAGAAGGGAGCCTTTACAAAAAAAAATCAATATTAATATGCCAGATTTATCAAGGAGTCTTGAGTGATAGTTTTCTGTTGAAACAATGAAAGCTGGGCTGAAATCTCACATAGTGTGAAAGAACACCCGGCACAGAAGGTGGTTGGTGCTGAGGGTTGGATACCCTCTTCAGGACGTTTTCAATGTTTTGCAGTCGATGGAATTTTCTACGCTGGAGGAGGGAGATGAAAGCGTAGCCTCTCAGTCCATCCCAACGGAGCAGGAGGTGACCCGAACCCAAAGTGAGACCCCAGAACAACTGCAGCAGGAAGTCATCGTCATACTAACTGACTCAGACAGTGAAGATGAGCAGGAAGAGGAGGATGAAGAGGAGGAGGAGCAGGTAGAGAGTTTGGAAACATTGTTTGTGCCAACACCCCCTTTTTTTCTTCTTCTTTCTTTAAATTGTTGGATCCCCCCCCCCTCCTGTTTATTGTAGGACTATGAAGAAGAGGAGGAGGAGGAAGAGGAGGATGAAGAAGAAGAGGAGGACGACGATGAAGAAGATGAAGAGGAAGACGATGGCGGAATGGAGGAAGAGGGAGAGGACAGCAACGAGGGGAGCGGAGAGGGCAACGAAGCCTACGAAGGAGACGACACAGAGGTGGGATCGGCTGTGACACATCGTTCTGTTGACCGCACCGCTGTGGTCACCCCCAGATGTTAACCCCTCCCACGCTTTCCGTCCCACTCCTGTCTGTCCAGCTCACACTCATTTGTTCCATACGGGCTCACTTCAGTTTGACCCGTCTGCAAGCTTTTCCTATATTTTCACTTTGCTTTTTTCTTTGCTTTTGTGGGGGTCGGATTGGTGCCAAACATAAAAAAAAATAAAATGACAAGCTTTCAGTGTTTAATGAATAATTTTGTATGTGTCTGTCAGCAGATGTGCTGCTTTGTGAGAGTTTGTGCACCTTTTTACCAAATTTGAATTTTTGTCAGTCAGCTGATTAAAATCTGTGGCTGTTTCTCATAAAATCATAATCAGACCACAGTTGTGTTCTGGCAATTAAATATCGAAAGACAGTAATTGAAAAGAGCAGTAATAGAAGGAAGAGGAGTCTTTTAGTTGGAAAGAGTTCTTAAGTTGCAGTCTGATTCACAGTCAAACATGCTCATTTGCTGGCTTGAATTACTTGAATGCAGCTGTACAAATAGAACTTGAAATGTAAAAACAAAAACAGACTCCCAGCCATTGAAAGTCATCTAATTCATATTTAATGATTTTTCTCCAGTACAGAATAAATGTTGGTTTTTTATATGGTTCCTTAGTCGTCCTCTAAATTTCACACAGATTATTAGTGTACATAAATTCAACCTTTCAAAAGCAGCTTTTTTTTGTTGGAAGAAGAAAGTGTTCTGTGTAATTGGAAATAGTTCTTTTGAACACTCCGTCCTCACAACTTCAATTCAATTAACCCAAATTCTCTATTTGACTTTATATATCTCTTTCCTCGCCAGGTCTCGCTATCCTGCTCCTGTAGGTCTCCTTCCATTGATTTTCCTTTTCTCTCCTTTCCCAGGGAGCTGACGTAACGGATCCGGGCACTGAGACAGAGGAGAGTTTGGGGGCGTCCGAATCCACCCAGAGGCCCGCAGATTCCCAGACTCCTAGCTGTAAGATCCAGGAAACCCAGTCAAATAGTCATACTGTGTAGATCTTCCTCAAATTCTCCACATGTGCTCATAAACCATCTTACTTTCCAATTAGTTATCTGACACTTTACTGGAAATGAGGTAAAATGCTGTCTGTCTGGGGGAAGTCGGGTGTCTAACAAGAAAACAGCTGTCGTCTTCTTTACTGCCACACGTTCATTTTGTTTGAACTGCACCTCATAGGATACTCAAAGAGCAATTCTACAATAATCCTATCTTAGCAAATATATCATTGGGAAATTTTGACATGGAATTATTTTAAATGAATAACACAACATATTCCAGCATCCCTAAACTCCACTCATACATTCATGTCTTATTTGCAGACTGGTATTTCCATCAAATCTTTGATTGCTTTTAATTTTTATGCTTTTCTTAGTGGAGGGGAGCACAATGGAGGCCTTCTCATCAGAACAACCCATCACAAGTTCAGGAACACGCATGCCCCAGTCACCACGGAGACCGGTGCATCAGCTGCCCCCCCGGCTGAACATCCACGCCGCCCCGACCTCGGAGCTGGGGCCGCCTGCTCAGGTGCAGGTACGCAACAGGGAGTTAAAAAAACAACCCCGTTCCAAAAGGTTTCTCCATCTCTGGCCTCTAATAGCTTGTGTTTTTTATTCTAGCGTATTCCTGTCCGCCGCCAGTCCGCGGGCAGACTCACCTCAGGGATGCCAGCCACCACTGTACGTCTTGTTAACGCCAAAAACCTTTACTGTATTCATGTTATTTACAAAGCGGTGTGTTTCTAAGTCTCTGCTTCCTCCTCTGTAGCAGCAGCAGCAGCATTTCTTTGAGGAGGATGACAGAATGGTTCCCAGCACTCCCACTCTGGTGGGGCCTCATCGCCCGGATGGTTTTGATCAAGCTATCCAGTAAGTTCGAAATCAGATAAGTTTGGGGGAATAAATTTCAGGTCATGAAACATTTTGTTCTCTTGTATATTTGCATTACATCATAGAGCTTAAACGTGTGTAAGATACTGGATTTTTTTTGTAAATATCCACAAATTTTTCACTAGAAAGAAAAGACTGACTGGTCCAAAGTCAGACTTATTTCTGTGTTTGGTTTCAGTTCTCCGCAGGTGGCCGGGGTTGCTCGCTTCAGGTTCGACCCCTCAGAGGAAATGCCCCAGACCAGCTCATCCTCACACTCTGAACTTGGACCGCTCGCATCACAAGGTGCAGCTCCATCACACAGATAATAAAGTTTAGCTTGTTATGCGTTTGTTGTTTTTGTTTTTTTAATAAGTGTAAATAAGATTAATTGGCACAGAGAAAGAAAGATGTGTGTCCCTCAGCAGAGAAATGACATGGGTTTTCTTCAGGTCTGTTTGAAAGTTCCCTGTACTTGGCGACTCACGAGGAGGAGTCGGGTGGGCGCAGCGTTCCCACCACGCCGCTCCAAACAACAGCACCAGGTATCCGTCTCTGTCAGTCCGTCGTGAAGGGTTGGGTTTTTTATCTGCACTCCCTTCCATTTTATCACCATATCCAGCTTTATTTTCTGATTTTGGAGTGTGTTTTTCTTTCTTATCTTGCAGTAACAGTCTTCTCTGAGGCGGCGCAGTCTGACTCAGCCGAGCACGCCTCCCAGTCGGTTCCCATGGTAAGCACGTCCACACCAGGCCTTGTTGTGCCTGGAGCAGCCAACACAGGGGAGGAGAGAGATGATATCTTCCTGGAGCCAGACACTGATAGGTGATCCTTCCTCCTCTTTATCTGTCAGTTGTTTTTTCCTCTAATGATGGGATTCCGATCGGTGGCTGACAGTAAATGATGGTCATTCTACACTTGCTTTGAGAGGGGTTTAAAAGGTTTATAATGAAGTCATCAGAGTTGGGGTTTGTTTTTTGTTTTTTTACCCCTTACACGTGGTGTGTTCTGTTTCTCTCTGCCAGACCCAGTGCTGAAGCATCGGTGGATACTGTGGTGTCCCAGGGAGACTCGGAGGAATCCAGCCAGCCACCAGACAAGGCCAGCCTCCCCTCCACCAGCCAGGAGCCTTCATCCAGCTCTGCAGGTGCAATGTGGTCTCCTCACTGCCACCGCTCCCTCGCCATGAATGTAGATAGGATGTATTTCCCGTCGCATTATCCGCCCCTGTCTGATTAACGGATGTTGTCTGTCGTCAGACACTAGCAGCGCCCCTCCGAGGCCGTCCCGACCCGGAACCAGCCGACAGCTGCAGCGCTGGCCAGAGAGCCGTGGGGGGCGCATGAAGAGAGGAGGTAACATCAATTTGTATCTTCTAGTGCTGAAGCTTCTCAGCAGGTTGACAGAAAACTAATTCGTGGACATATTGGTGCATCAGTCATTTTCATTCAGCGATGAACATGAAGATTGACTGAAAGTCTCCTCTGCGTTTAGCCTCTGAAAATTGATAACAAACTTTGCTCAGTTGACCTGGGCGAGAACATCAGTTCAACCAGTGTTTTCTACGTTTTGTTTAAAGATACTAAGCCTTACGTAAATGAAGTCAACAAAGTGAAGAATTGGTGTCTAAATTGACATTTTGGATGTCTTTGTTTCACTAATGTCAGTAATGTTCATCCTTAAAAGCTGCACAGGTGAAGAAAACACACCAACAGACTGGAAGAAGGCAAATACACCCTAAACCTCTTTTTCTCAATCACACGTTTGTGGTGTTCATGACGTAATTGCAAACCCAAATTAAAAACACTTCTTGTATGACAGTTGATCCTCTTGGTCATACATAACAATCACAGAGATGGCGTTTAAGTTTGAAAGACTTTTAATCATTTTTCTCACAATACATTTTTGCTTGCTTGGAAAACACAATCTCACCTACTCTTAACATACAAAAGGTTTTCAGTCAGAACTAATAGTGTCGTGCTGAAATGAGCTTTGATTGCCGCTGGTGATGAGAAAAAAATGTTTGGATTTTTACAGCTTTTAATCAGTTTCCGATTCCCATTACATGAGCAGTAACTGTAGCGGCAAAGGCAGCGGTACAGAATTTACATGGGTGCCTCAGGCTTGTCTAACAGTAGATTTTACTCCCGCACAGGTCAAGCCTTTCCCTCCCGAGGTGTACCTGGAAGACGATTCGCAAGATGAGACGATGATCAGAGGATCTGATGGCCCACCATTTCCACCCGTCACATCAGTGTAATGCTCTGTAATCTTTAAGATGTTCCCATTATCTGAAGCCTGATTGTTGATCTTTTTATTTTATTTGCCTTTGTGTTTTTTTTATGTACTTGCAAAAGTAGCTTTTGTTATAGAGATCTATGCTGAAGCAATGCGTTTTATGACGAATAAAATAAAGAGAATAACTGAGGACAACTTGTAAAACGCTTCTGCTTTCTCACAAAACCACCTTTCTGTTAGAGTTTCTTTGGACATCTGAAGAAGTTGTTGGTCTGAGGCGAGGTGTTTGCTTTAGAAGCAGTAATGACGGGGCGTTCACCGTTAATCTTCACACTGTGGGCTGTGGCTGCAAAACAGAATAAGGTCATTAGTGGATAAATCACTTTTAAAAGTTTGAATACATGAAGGTGCATAGGATGCTAGATGAATATTTTGAAACTTTTAATTTTCCACCCGTTGTTAATGAGGTTTTGGAAACTTCTCTTGGCCTCCACAAGGCCTGAAAAAAAAGGCTGGGGTGTTTCATTACTGATGTAAATTACCTCTCTGTGCTGTTGGTTATACTAATAAGCTGCAGTTTGCTTCAGACCGCTGAAATCATTGTCATGGAACATTTAGTTGTGGTCACTCTGCTAAAATATCAGGTGAACGTGAATGGGCCCCTCCCTAAATGGGCACACCACAAACAGCTGGCCAGATGGTCCCCATTAAGGGTCTCAGACATGATGTGACTGTTAACCCCGGGAGGACAGACGAGTAAGGCTCTTTTAGTTCTCTTAAACTTCGGAAATCCGAATGAAAACCACATATGCTTCTTAAACGAGTCCTAAACTTTTATTCAATCTCATAAACGGAGTCAAGCTGTTTTCGACCGGGGTTTCAGGGTGGACCACAATTGGAAAGAATAGGTTTACCAGCTTTTACTGTTAAAATTCACTTGAACTTTTCAACATGAGGTTTTTATAAGAATTCCACAATGAACCCCCACAAAAAAATGGGAAAAGTCTGTTGATGTCTGTGAAAAACTCCACAATGCCTTTTTTTTATATTCAACGTTAAAACCACCAATGATGCAATCTTCTCCATAAAGGAGATGGATTGAAAAAATTTAATTTTTAATCGGTGTGTTTGCTGATTGAGATATGATTTGTTGACCTTATTGACTAAGAAGATGAATGAAAAGGATTGAATATCAGACATGTAGTGACTTACATCTCGAGAAGACGTAATATTTGTACCCCTCTGGCTCCCTGTTGCTTGGGACAGACACAGCAGCCGTGATAGTGGAGGGGAAACCTGCCCATGCTGTCCGGATGTTAATGACTGGTTCTAAAACGGACACTGGAAACAAAATGACCAGGTGTTAAATTCTGCTGTAAACAGGACGATGATGCTGCTACCGCACCAATTAGAGTAATGACACATGGTTACAATAAATTCATAATTCGATTTCAATTTGGTCTCTGAAAAAAGCCAGTGTTATATATTGATTATTGAATAGTTTTATATAACATGAATACTTGTAACAGTCTTATTTCAGGACAGCTCTGTGCAACATAATGTCAGGTGACATTTCCTTGGCTCACCTGCTTGCCGAACCAATCGGGCACGAACTGTGTAAATGGGATTGTGAACTTTCTTGCCACATGTGGGACCTGTACCAAACTGGTATGAATATTTCTGAACATGTCCCCCTGTAAGAGCCATGCAAAAAAAAAGTCATTCAGCAGGATGATTCAGAATTTCAAAATTATGGCGTGGTTTACTTTAAATGCTTCATCACCTCTCTTAAAGAAAAAGACAGACTCTCTCCTGGTCCTGTACTGAGGCACAGACAAAGCAGCTGTGATTTGGCCTTGCAGCCCGTCAAAGCCTGTTTTAATGACTTTGGGATATCCAGGGTCCACAACATCATTTTCAAATCTCCAATACCTGCTTCCCTGCAAGTATTTAGCAGAGAAAAAACAAATTATAAAGAGAAAAACTAAGTATGTTCTGTCAAAGACTACCCCAGGCATTTTTCATTGTCACATCAGTGAAGCTATTCCGTGAGATTAGTCTAAATGAGTCTTTGGGAGAGGAAAGCTCACCTTAAAGATGTACGTTTTGCCCTGGCAGTTGCAGCGGGTGAACACAGTGTCTATTGGAGAAGGCACGCCCCATACTTGTGTGATGCCTCGGGCTGGGCTTGGCACTCTGTTTCTATCCAGGAACCAGAAATAGTGACCTGTGGAAAATGCCATTGGTGAGTTAGAATGGCCCACACAAAGTCTTTCAGGATGCACAGCGCGAATACTGAATGGACTGCATTTGCATAGTGAATGATCACATGCACCCACCCACAGACTCACCCCCACGTAGATAACAGTCCTCTTTGTACATACATGCATTCTACCTAAGACAGAACCATCAACTCTCCAGTTATTTGACAAACTTGCACAAGCAAATAAAAGGGTCCTCTGTCACAACCATGACATGCATCATCTTAAGATTCTAGAGGAATCTTAATTTGAGGAAAAGTACTCAATATTTGCTTTAGCCAAGCAAAATGGAAAAAGTTTTTTAAAAAACGGTACAATACAAACTACCTTTTAATTATTTCTTGTCAAAACGGAAAAAGTATGAACATTTTTACAGCATTCCTCAAACAAAATACAACTCTGAATTCTTAGTATTACACTCACAATTAACAAAGTGAGTAGCTTCAGTGTTTGCACGAATATAGAATAAACTTCTTTCAGTCATGTTCAACACATGTTGTCCAAAAGTCTCTAGTTAGTTCCTGCTGATGCTTTTTTTTAAATGAAAAAATATCGTCAATTTCAGTGCACAGCAGGACTTTCAGGTAGAGATGATTATGAGCAGGCACTAACCTCTGAATACCACCATTGTGCCGTTCCTCAGTGTGGTGACCGCACTGACCGGCCTCCCGCTGCACAGGTTTGTGTCGTTGCTGTCATCTGGAGAAAAAAGCGCGCACATTTGTCACAAATCCATCTTTTTCACAGAGCAAGCGAGAGGACTAGTGTCAGACTCTCACAGAATCCACTCTTTTTCCTCTGAGGCATGGCACTCAAAACCTACATGTCTTATGTAGGACCATGTGATACATGTAGTCAAATATAATCTTTATCTGGTTTTATGGGAATTTTCAAGATTCTAGACTTTATTTACTGGTGGAGAGAAAAAGTACAACATAAAAGAAGTCACTTCCTAGAAAGTCTGTCCCCCTGAGGCCTTTCGAAAAATAACTGAGCTCATAAACTAAGCATCAGATATAATAAGAATATTACTGAATCTGGAAGCATTGCTTTTGTGACATTTTAAGACTAATTTCATCTGTTATATTAAGCTGACATTTTCTTTCCTAGTTTACAGAATTGATAAGTTGACTTCTTTCCTGTGTGAGCTGTTTATGGATCTAAACCGTTGTTAACGTCATGCATTACCTGCTTGATAATCTCTTGGGTTGTCTACATTCAAGGTATCCAGGGGCTTAGTTTCAGGTTTAGAGGTGGGTGTCAGTTTCTGTGGGTCAGGTTTCTCCTGGGGTTTTGAGTCGGGTCCAGGCTTTTGGGGATTTGTTGGTGCCTGTGCAGTTGTCACCACTGGTGTAAGCCCGTCTGTGGCATCGTCCTGCACTGCAGCTGGGAATGGAGTGGAATGGAGAAAAGTGCCTTTGTCGAGCTCCGTGGTATTTAGATCTTCAGGTTCTTTCAGTAAAGGTGGAGGGTCCATGGTGAAGTCCTCTGTGTTGTTTCCAATGTCAGCGTTTGAGGTTGTTTCCTCTGGATTCAAAGTCACTGTGGATGTGGGTGGAGAGATTTCTTCCACTGTGTCTGAGTTCTGGTCGGTAATAGTTGTGAAATCCTGCTCATCCGATGGATGAACGGTTGTATTGATATGTAGTTTGTCTGGTCTTGTAGTTGTAGATTCTATTTGTGGCACTGAAGTTGAAAAAGGTTGGCTGGAGTCGATGTTAGGTGCGACTGGGACTTCAGTGAAAGTTGTTCTCTGATCAGCGGCAGTTAAAACATCGCCTGCATCTAGAAACAGATGAATATGGTTGTGAACAAACAGGTAGCTACAAAAAGTCAGCACAACTGTCTAATGGTGATACATCTCAATGGAACGATGACCACAGAAACAAAACAGCATTGAGTATGGGACACAGTTTTCCTGAGCATCACACACCTGAATTCTCAGTCGTGGCATCTCCAGCAGTAGAGTTAAGGATGGGGGGGTTGTCATCCTCTATATAAGTTTCTTTGGTCTGCAAAACAACACTGTCTGTGGTGATCTCCGGAGTGTCCGTTACCAGTGCTGGTTCAGTTGGACCTTGATCCAGCGAGTCATTGGTAGGGGGTCCATTTCCACTGCTGCTGTCTGGTGTTGGATTCACCTCCAGATCATCCACTCCAGTCAGAGAGAATCCCTCAGTGGGAGGGACTTTGTCGTATAAATCTGCAAGAAGGAGGCACAAGCATAAATGTTGCACTGGAGAGAGATTTACTGCAATAGGTCTTCCGTAGATTTATTATCTGGATAATTATTCACCATCAACGAGATCATCCGGTGGATATGATGTTGTGCTGTCCAGAGGATATGTGTAGTCATCTGATGATACAGCAGGCAAAACCACAATCAGTCCACATGTTCATTAGTGCTTATTTGCACTTAATTAGTGCATTCTGAATGTGAAAAAATGTATATAAACTTTTTGCTGCTCTTGACAGGCTGATCAGAGCTTCCTTCTTGGCTTTACGTAAGACGTCTTGATTCATAAATGCCCCCACACTGAACTGTTCAGAATCAACTACCACATTTTTGAAAAGGAAAGACACAAAAGCCAAGAAAATATGCTGTCATTCTTTTTTGGCTTCATTCGGTGGTTTCCTCTCTTGTGACTGAGCTTGTGCCCAGCCCGCCCTCACAAGGTCCACTCAAACCAACACTGCTTACTTGTGTTTCCTTTGGCACATGAAGCCACTGCGTTTGGCTTGCGCTTTTGAGACTTGGACTTGAAAGCATTTCACAGTCTCTATGCTCTCGTCTACCATGAGCAACCTATTTTTCTGTTTTCTACACTTCTACATGTTATTAATGAGTTTTGAAAGGAAAGGGAAAGCCTATTAAGCATGACATTAGGCTTTTTAGTATGTTTTTGTCTCTGTGAATGTATCTTAAATGAAAAAAAAAGAATACAATCACCTGCATCGTTGCCTTCAACGAAAGGCGTCTGCTCTGTGGCTTCATTCAGAGTTGGCTCTGTGGGAATATTCATGAATAAAACGTAATTGTGTTGTTGTGAATAAAGCCCATTAACCTAATTCCTAAATTGTTGAAATTGTAAAAAACCCATTTCCACAAATATATACCTTTATGTTTGCTATCATTTACATTATCGCAAGAACTAGTCTTCACTGGTGCGGTCTCACTGGCTGCTCCACTGATTTCTGCAGTAGTTACCAAGACAGAAGATACTGTCAAAGACCCAATGCATCGGTGCAGATTACTGCATGCATTACAATACCAGTGTCGTGCAGCTGTACATGCTGGTGGGGGGCATGCGGGCCATATCTGTGATGTATGAAACCTTTCAGGATTTTGCTTCCTTCATGTAGGCTACGCATACTGAAAGTGAGTTTGATGGATGTGGAGTTTTGCACTGTAAAGGAATTCGTTTTGCATGCTAGAAAAAGGCACAAACAACTCTTGGATGTTCTGTTCGTCACTCACCTTCTGCCTCACAGTGGGCCTCGAAGTCTTGACAACACTGCTTGTACTTCGCACAATCAGGGTCGCAGCTACACTGTCGGCCCCTTTTGAAGTTTTCTCCACAACGCCCCTTACACGAGCTTTCTGTCGCACGCAAAAACAGCAGTTTTCAACAAAACTCACATCCATTTCTAAACTATACGGAGTCACACACATAAGACACTGGAATGTAACTTTAAGTACTGCTCATAAGCACCATTTTGAGGCACTTTTTCTTTCATACTATCACATCATTCCCTCTTTTTCCCTCTTGAATTTTAACAATTAATTACTTAGGTTACTAATGTATTCAAGAAGAAAATGCATTGCAGAACTGTAAGTAATATTTATTCTGTTTTTTTGGTCAGAAAAATGATGATAGAAAAAGGCTCACTTGTAGTGCACTGAGCTTCAAAATCTTTGCAGCACTCTCCGTAAGACAGGCAGCTGTAGTCGCATTGACACATGTAACCCCTGTAGTACTCGCCACCGCATCGTCCTTTACAGCTTGCTGTTAGTAAGATGCAAAAAGAGAAAAAATGTCAAGGGAACTACAAAAACACTATTGGTTCACAGTGTGTACCAATAACAAAATCCACTTGAGGACAAAGTCTATGCAAGGCTGCCAGAAATTGATTTCTGCTGTGCTGACAAATCCAAATGAACACACAGTTTACTCCTCTGGTGAATAATCACCAATAGAATAAACATCAGTGAGTAAGAACACAGTAAACATTTAATGCCTTCCAGGAACCCCCACCCCCCAAAATGTCATTAAAATGTTTCTATATAGTTCAAATTCTTTACAAATCATTCTCACCTTGAGCTGCATTAAATTTCAAAGCACAAACCAGCAGAATAACAGCACAAAGGACTTTGGCAACCATGATCCTGTAGGCATGAAATAAAAAAAAGACATTAAAATCAACCAAATCACATGTTATTGAGACTTTTCTCTCTTCGTGACTGAAAAGTCTTGCCATGTTCAAGACATGACACTGGAAACAGAGCGGAACCTACCTTGACCGAGCTTCTGCCTGGATACTGTTGGGTGTTTGACTCAGGCTTCTTTTTAAAGGCAGGGAGAGACAGTCTGACCTCCTGTTAATTGGCGGATCCGGTCTAATTAAAAGTCTGATGATCTCACAGGCTCTTGGGAGGGACCTGTAGTCCAGACATCACGATTCCTCACAAACAACTGGAAGCACGTCAACACACATCTGTGCCAGACAGACAGCTTACTTCACACACTTGTGGGCAATGGAAAAAAATTGGTGGTTCCGTCACAAATAGGAGAACTAGACCCAAATTCACGAGGTTTGTCAAATCAATACCACATGGACAGTCCCATAACTCAGCACCACATGAATCAGTGCTTTTACCTTTTCAAAACTTTAAGTAATGATGATTTCATATAGCTGCTTGTCTATTCCCCTACTCCCCCGCAGGTCCCTTTTTGTATGAAAAATAATTTTTGGGGGAGTTTTAAAATACTAAGAATTGCATTTAGAGTAAACTTTTTTCATTAATAAATCTAACCTCCACTGAAATATTATTGTTAAGATACAGTTTAATCTCTTTAACTGAGCTGCTCCTGTCACCCAAATGTGTTGTTTTCCCTTTACATGCTGGCAGGGGGGAGCTGGAGTACCTTCAACATACAAACAGCCCACAGAAAGGTCCCAGCTTGGATTCAAGTAGTGACCATCATGCTGTGGGGCAACAAGGAAAAAAAAATTGATTCATCATAAGGTTGAAAAATTAAGCGAAAGGATGGATGAACAGGGATGAGTCATTGGGCTTTTGGGATCAGTTGAGTAAATAGCCTGTTCATCAATGCGTATGTTTTTCCTTTGTTTTTTTTAATTTAATTTTGATGCCTACTTTGGTTTTCTACTCTTCTAGACTGACAAATCTAATTTCAAACTATTTGGCTGAGTATTGACTTGTGGGTTGGGAAATTACTGGGTGAGTTGTTAGACTTTAAAATCAAAAGGCTTTAAACTGAAATTCATCTTAAAGACGCTTTCTGTTTTTCTGAATGCATAGGAGACTTTGATGAAAGAACTGTACCCTTATGTCTAAAATTAAGTAGATAACTTAATGTGTTTCAGATATTTCATCTCTTGATGATTAATGTCGTTATGTATTTTGATAATTTGAGGCTGGTATTTTGTGGCTGGAACTGTTGATGGACCATGATACGGCTCTGGTATGTTCCCATCATGTCATAATTCAATTAGAGGAAAAGTGTGTGTTAGAACACTTGTGCCAATGCAATAATGATAACAGGATCTGGCAGAAGCAACTGCACCTTCAAAACAGCCTAAAGGACACAGCATGAGAACTAGAGCTAACATCAGTGTCCTGTCTCATCATCCCAATTTAAAACCCAGCAGACATTTTGTGCCAGACGTAGAACATTTGTGGAGCGGAGTCGTAGCACCACCCTGTGTTTTAAACTCTCACTGCATCTCTTTGATTGATGGATATCCAACTGCAACCTTGTTAATGTGCTGTCAACTATTTTCCAGAATGGGACCTGTCTACTCTGTTTTGTGTACTTTTTATGTGTCCAGAGTCCACCACAATGTTTAAGCAGTAAATCTGCTATCCACCTGAAATTTAGATAGATTTAGAAACAAGCATATGTCCCATCTGATGGTGATAATTTAAACAATTTATCATACATATCCTATGAGTGTTTTTTTTGTGACTAATACTATCGTAAAAAAACCAAAAACGTGTTCAACTTGTTTTGCGCTTTGCATCTCAAATGTGGCCTAGAGCATTTGGGCAGAGTCAATAAAGATATAATTTTGTGTTTTTCCTTTTTCTTTGTTTTGTATGATCAGAAAAGTGAACACAACTTATGGATGTGTTTGTGTCAAAATATAGGTTTACCTCAAGCATGGGGGAAAAGGCGATATTCAGGTCTTAAACATTTTGGACCACAAAAATAATTAGATGTAATGAAAAGATCCAACATTGATTAAAAACATGGTTTAGCTTCACTTTATTTTGAAAGTGTGTCTATTGTATGCCCATGTGGCTAACTGAATCCTTAAAAAAGGCTGAATTTCTGTATTAAAAGTGTCAAAAAACAAATGATAAAAGGGAGAGTAAACAGAACGTCAACAGTTTGCAAAAAGTGGAGTTTGTGCAGCTTCGTGACACCTGACAGCAGTGCCATCTGTAGGTCAGAATATGAAGTAAAATGACAAAATTGCAGTGTCAACATTTGGCATTGTCATGTCATTTAGAGATTTCTCAATTCTTTTTTTAGGCTTTCTCCACAATTTTTCTCAGATCTTTCACACATGAGCAGCTGTATCAATGTCCTCCTTCCAACAGACCAACGAGCCTGTAGAAAAGCAGACAACTGACACACAGGGACAGCCAAAGAGAGGCAGCAATATAAAAAAAACATTTATTACCACAGATGGATGCCATGCACACTTGATCTCCCAAGGAGATTAGAAAACCAGCGAAGGGAAAGTGGGCTTGCTTTTCTGGATCCAAACTGTTGGTTTTTTGTGAGCAGTGGAGGCCAATCACACATCTTGGCAGCTTTAATCAGCCAGCCTGTGCAAGCAGGAGCTAAGCTGATTTGTTAGAGTCACGATGAAAAGCAGATTCATATAGGAAGAGAGGTGATGCTCTGCATGTGGAAGTACACACTGGGCCTCACTCAGGAGGTGATTTTACCACATTTAGAGGCGAAAGAAAGTCTGATGGTAGTTCTGCAACTTCCTGGTTACATGCAAAGTGTTTCTGAAAAACAATGAACAGACTAGAGCTAAGCTCATAACAGGAAATTGCCTCAAGCAGAGCACATTATCTAGTAAACATTACTGTGTGTTTTCAGTTCTTCTGTAATGCAAATAACGTTGCAGCTAAGGGAAAGATCCGACATCCCTCCAAGCATCTGCAAGGTGCATCTGTTAGAACTTGAATACTTTTCAAAAATATATATTGTTGCGATATGATTACTGATAATATGATCAGAAAAAAAACTTTAGAATCAGACAAATGCAAGGGTGGGCTGGTATCAAAGGCAACACTCCAAAAAGATTAAATTAACACTAAGAGGTGGCAGTGGCTCATGCAACAGCTCTTTTACATATATATATATGGGACTTAATTGTAGATAAATTGTGGACAACTGTCCCTTGTTTAATTTGTGCTTACAGAAAGAAGGCTGAGACACTGCCAGTAAGATGTTAAAAGATTAATGGGTTTTGGGACAATGAATAACTTGTTTCAGCCTTCTGCAGGTCATCTTCCACTCTGCATCAGCCAGAATGTATTAGTATTGAATGCTAGCATTACAGGTCATGCTAACTTTATGTCATTGTCTCTGTAAATACCCTGCACCCTTAGTTGGTTTCAGTATGGTCCACAAAGGATGAAACCAGGGTCCAGCACCTGCACAGAAAGACTCACTGGACTCACTTACAATTACATTAATCTATGATTCAATATTTTTTTATTTGAATGACATCTTTGTCATTCTTTTTTTCATATAGACTGATATTAACTTCTCCAGATGCGCATTGTGTATCATAACGCATATATTTTTGTATATTCTGTGGGTGTTTCCGTGGTGGAAAAATGAGCCAATAAGATTTTAATATACACTCTTGGACCCGCCTCTAAGCGGTTGCTATGTCTACTACACGTTCCTCTTGAATTGAGCGAGCAAACAACCAATCAGATTAGCGGTAGGTGGGGCTTTGTGCTCGCACTCAAAACTGCCTGGTGAATTTGTACTACTGTGATCTAACTGCTCAGGAGTGCTGGAGACAAGTGCCGAAGCGACGCTGCCGAGAACCCAGAGATGGAAAATGTGCGCTACGTTCTCTGAATACTCTGTCCAGGTAACGAGCTGTTCTGCGCCTTTCTACTGCTCCATCTTCCATGACCGTAATGCAGAAGTAGTACTTGAGAGAACGCGCCTCAATAATTGGAGGCTTTTGAAAATAGCGAGCGCGACTGGGCACGCTTGTTTGACATTTGAACGGAGGGGAGGCTAACCCTGGTGCAGGAAACAAGAGCATGTGGACTCCAGAAATGTTATATACAACCCCAATTTCAGTTTAAACGCGTGTAACCTGTCAAGGTGGGCCCCGGTTATGCAGTGCTGCTCGCGCTCTGCTTTACGGTCTCATTTCTGAGACGTTGTAGGTTTACCAGCATTTATATTGCAAGTTTCATATTGCTAGGAGGTTTGATTTCGCATTTTTATTCTAACCTTACACATTTTAAAATGACTTGGATTGTATTTGATTTATTCAACTGGATAAATAAATAGCTTTTTTTTCTATTTTTATTTGAAGTAGTAGAAGTTTATACAGTCAACAGATGACTGGAGCCACACCTGCACCATTGTCATTAATTAAGTGTACAGGTACATGCAACTAACAGAAACAGGAATATTTTAATGTTGCTCCACATCTGGCAGATGTGATGTGATGATGTGCATTTTCTTCTCTGGGTTTAATTTGGAAACACTCCCAAGCCAAACTAGAAGGACCAAAATAAAACAAAAAAACTGTTATATATTTAAGAGGGATGTTTACGGGTGTGGAAGATGTAAACTGTTAGGTTTATTTCATGTTTTGTTTGACAGAAATGGGAGACAAGTTCAGTCTCTTGTTAAAACTTTTATCTCATAAAAGTCCAATTAAACTCTACTCTCAACTATTTAATTATCAAAAAGGAAAATGGGAGGAATAATCTTCTATATAAGACAGTGTCTCCATCTGTTGACAGCCAAAACCATTTCTACTTCTACGTCTAAGCCAGACTTTAGTTTGTTTAATCACAAGTCTGCCAGTGTCTGCGCGTGTGGTTTTATTAAGTTTCATTAGGTCTCTTTTTAACTCAG